GTCATTGCATGTGCTGCATGAGTCTGAAGAGGAATTTACGGACTGCTATTGAATATATGGGCTAATATCAGACTTATGAACTTGATCTGGACTGGGCTGGGATGTTTTCTTAGTACGTATACCATTCCTCTAGGATACAAAGTTCTCTTATACATATGTGAGTGTCCCTGGACTTGTTTCTCTAGTCCACCCAGACAAACATATCGCTGTGATGGCTCCCAGGTTGCAGGGGAGCTTCGAGAGCAGCAGTTCTCAACCTGTGGGTCGAGACCCCTTGGGGGTCTAACGACCCTTTCACAGGGCTCTCCTAAGGCCATGGGGAAGCACATTATTTCCTATGGTCTTAGGAAGTGAGACACCACCCCTCTATCTCAACCTTTCAACTGACGTTGGCTTTTCACGCATACTGTCGCAAAACGTAGCAATGCAGTTTACCGTTTTTATAGTAAGACACCATGTTGTTATATTGAGTCACCATGCTTCAAGACAAAGTTTCATTTATTTGTAATTGGAAATAAATATTTCACAATCTATATTACATATTGTTTTGTGATGAATCACTATGCTTTAATTACGTTCAATTTGTAACCATGAAACTATATCCTGCATATCAGATATTGACATGACGATTCCGAACAGTAGCAACATGACAGGGATGAAGTAGCAACGATCATAATGTGATGGTTGGGGGTCACCACCACATGAGGAACTGTATGAAAGGGTCGCAGCATGAGGAAGGCTTAGAACCCCTGTTCTAGCGGAAGCCAGCCTAGGCGGAAAGGCCTGATGACCTGCTACTGACTGACAAATCAGCCAGGGAAAACTGTATGTATGTGTGGCAAAGGTCCCGACCTCGTCCTCAGAGGGTGAGCTTGAGCCAGGCTGTCGGCAAGTGACAACAACAGCCACCACCACAAAACACTGTTGTGTGTCACAGCACTTTCTGAAGGCATTGGTGATAGACGAGGGAGGGCACCAGGGCGACCTAACACGGACCAGGGGCCGCAAATGGTTAGCATCTCTCCACCACCCTGCCCCGGAAACCTCTCTGGCTTGGACTGAAGCCACTTTGGGGAGCGGACTCACCGGGCCCCTCTGTGAACTCTATTCCAAGGTCTCGTCCCAATTCTCCCGCAGCTCACCCTTGACCCCAGGCCCTAGTCTCAGCAGAAGAAGCAGGTGGGATGTGTGGGGAGCCCAGCAAGCGTGGCAGTAGGGGCTCGACCACAGTGATGTTGCAGCAGCTTCATCGGGCAGGATGGCCCCTGAGGAGAGTCTGGGAAAAGTGCAAGGGTGTTTATCTCGGCCACCATCGGGGTGTGTGTGTGTGTGTGTGTAGCCTGCTTCCATATAAACACAAAGTATTTCTTGCATGTTTTTTAATAAATACGGGCTTTCCCAGGAATCCGACTATTGCGCACACTGAGCCTTTGTTTTGTTAGGCATTTTGCCAAGACCTGTTGCCCATTTCACATCGCTGGCAACCATGCCGCACTCGCCGTATCTGAGTCACCGGCACAGCCACTTGAGCCTGCCTCCGCCCGCCCGTGGACGCTGTGCTGCTGGTGGTCCCACCCGGGGGCCGGGGCAGGTGTGGGGCCTCCCGGTGTCCCCGGGCCCCACCTCGGCGGCTTGCCTGTTTCCATCCTGAAATCCACAGGCTTGTATTCCAAATGATTTTCTGCTTCTTTCTCAGACGGTCGGGAGAGTCTATTGCTGTTTCAAACATCACGTGTGAGGGGTGGTTACATTATTTATGAATTTCATTTCAGCTTGGTGAAGGGGAGGGACTTATGATCATCCCAGGAGGGTGGGTGGGTGGGGGAGCTTGGATCTGACAGAGCTAAGAGCTGAAGCGCCCACCTTTGCAGAATTCAAGAAAGCCACCCCTGAGCCTCCCCCGCCAGGAGCGGTGTGTTTCTGAAACGAAGTTCTCAGCTCAGGCAAAGGCAGAAGCTGCATCAGCCAGGTGTTTGTTGTCAACCACAACCTTTCTTTCAGGAGCCCTGGTGGCGTAGCGGTGACACATTGGGCTGCCATCCATAAGGTCAGCGGTGGAAGACCACCAGCTGCCCCTTGGGAGAAAGAGGGGGCTTTCTACTCCCGCAACAAGTTTCTCTCTCTCCCTGCCACTGAGTCACTCATAGCGACCCTATAGAACAGTACAACTGCCCCTGTGAGTTTCAAGGAGTGCTGAGAGGAGCAGCTGATGGTTTTGAACAACTGACCTTGCAGATTGCAGCCTGACACATAACCACTACGCCACCAAGGCTCCCCTGTAAAGATTATAGTCTCAGAAATGCCCAGGGGGTGCTTCTACCCTGTTTGATAGGGTCACTATGAGTTGGCAGAGAGAGAGAGAGATAACCCGTCTGTCCTCTTCCCTATAAATGTTGGGAGCCCCTTGGTAAAGCAAGGCTGTTAACGGATAGGTGGCAGGGTCAAAGCCACGCAATGGTGCTTCGGAAGAAAGGCCTGGTGACCCAGTTTGGCCACTGAACCCCCACAGCAGTGCTTTGCTTCCCACGGGGCACTGTCCGTGGGTCACTGGCCTGTCATCAGTGGTGGCGGTGCTGGTATTTAAGTCGATTTCAAGTCGTTGGGACTCCAAGTGGCGGGTGAGGGTCAGGACAGAGTGGGGGTTCTAGGCTGGGTGGGACTGTGTGCCTGACGGTCTGCTCGCTCCAGGTGCTCCAGGTTCAAGTTCATCCCCTTTGCCCTCCCAGGAGTCCAGGCAAGGGCCACACTCCCACCGGACTCTGAGCACTGTGTCTGGAGGGCAGGCCACCTTCTCGGCATACCCCCTGGACTTCCTATCCCTGCCCCCACCCCACCCCTGTTAGGAAATCAGCCCCGTGGCTTCTGCCTCTAGAACAGTGGTTCTCATCCTGTGGGTCACAACCCCTTGGGCGGTCGAACGACCCTTTCACACAGGTCCCCTGATTCATAACAGTAGCAAAATGACAGCGATGAAGTAGCAACAACAATAATGTTATGGTTGTGGGGTCACCACCCCATGAGGAGCTGTATGAAAGGGTCAAGGCATTGGGAAGGCTGAGAACCACTGTTCTAGAAGATTCCTCCAAGGAACTGCCTTCCCCTGGTCTGGAGCAGTGTCCCTGGGGGGCAGGGTGGGAGCTGCTGGGAGTCAGAACAGAGCTTGCCCAGCCGGACAGACACCAACAACTGGACCAACACCAACAGCCAGACTGACACCAGGGGCTGTGACCCCATCTGTGGCCAAGTGGGCTTCCCCATAACCCACCTTAGACTCAGTCTGCACCCACCCGCCCACCCCACCTAGCCCCTGGCCAGCAGGGAGGCAAGAGGCTCCTGACAGGTAGGGGCAAAGCAGTGAGGCACCCCTACAGAGGGGGAGTGGGGCCAGCCACACTGGGGCTACCCTCCAGATCGGGGCTGGAGAGTCCTGCAATTTAGGGGCCACTCCTCCATGAGACACGCAGGGAGGAGGCGTGCAGAGGGGACAGGAGGTGGTGTCCGTGTTGATGATGGGACCCAGGTGGGCAGGGGCTGGGTGAGGAGGC